GGTCAACAGATACATGAAACGATGCTCAGCATCCCTCCTCATCAGGGAAATACAAATCAAAACCACACTGAGATACCACCTCACGCTGGTCAGAGTGGCTAAAATGAGCAAATCAGAGGACTCTAGATACTGGTGAGTATGTGGAGAAACGGGCACCCTCCTACACTGTTGGTGGGAATGTAAATGGGTGCAGCCCCTCTGGAAAAAAGTGTGGAGGTTCCTCAAAAAGTTAACAATAGAACGCCCCTATGACCCAGCAATAGCACTGCTAGGAATTGACCCAAGGGATACAGAAATGCTGATGCATAGGAGCACATGTAACCCAATGTTCATAGCAGCACTCTCAACAATAGCCAAAACATGGAAAGAGCCTAAGTGTCCATCAACAGACGAACAGATCAAGAAGATGTGTTTTATCTATACCATGGAATACTACATGGAAATGAGAAAGAATGAAATCTGGCCATGTGTAGCAACATGGATGGACCTTGAGGGTGTTATGCTGAGCAAAATAAGTCAGGCAGAGAAGGACAAATACCATATGTTTGCACGTATAGGAGGATTAGGAGGAACTTAACCGAGGACCGTGGGTGAGAAGAAGAGGGGAAATGGTGGGGGAAAGGGAGAGAGGCAAACCATGAGAGACTCTTGAAAGCTGAGAACAAACCGAGGACTGATGGGTGTGGGGGAGGAGGGGGAGATGGGCATGGAGGAGGGCACTTGTGGGGATGAGCACTAGGTGTTATATGGAAACCAACTTGACAATAAACTATCTGTGAAAAAAAATTAAAAGAAAAAAAAAGTTGGCATTGTAAATAAAACAAGTTGCAAGAAGTTTTTTGAAGTAGAATTAACAACGTATTATTTTTATTCATGAGTTGGAAACTGAAAAAAGGCTAGTTAAGGTAAAAGTTTTGAGTGGGGTTATTAGGATGTCTTCCAGCTTCCTGGAGTCAAGAAGTACCACTGGTATTAATGAGCCTGTATGTAGTAGGGCTCCCTTAATTAGATCTGAGGACTTGTTTTTGCAATTTTAATCCTTAGCTTTGAATATGTTGGCTAGAGACTCAGTTACTCCTCATTTGTTGTTTTGGGGGAAATATAACTAGATGGTCTTTTAGCTTTCCAATTAAAAAAGACAAATAACCTAAAAAAAAAAAAAAGAAGATGTGGTATATAAATATATATATATGTGGGCATATATATCTATGTGGTATATATATATATATATATAAAGAAGATGTGGTATATATATATATGTGGGCATACGCATATATATATATATATATATATATATATACACATACACATACATGTAATGGAGTATTACTTGGCAATCAAAAAGAATGAAATCTTGCCATTTGCAACTGCATGGATGGAGCTAACAAAATTAGTCAGAGAAAGACAAATACCATATGACGTCACTCATACGAGGAATTTAAAACTCAAAACAGATGAATATAAGGGAAGGGAAGCAAAAATAATATAAAACCAGGGAGGGCAACAAAATATAAAAGACTTAGAAAAATTTTTTTTTCCGTTTATTCATTTTTAAGAGATGGAGAGAGACAGAGCATGAGTAGGGGAGAGGCAGGGCAGAGAGAGGAGACACAGAATCTGAAGCAGGCTCCAGGCTCCAAGCTGTCAGCACAGAGCCCGATGCAGGGCTCAAACTCACGGAATGCAAGATCATGACCTCAGGCAAAGTCAGACACTCAACGGACTGAGCCACCCAGGCGCCCCCAAAACATAGGAGACTCTTAAATACAGAGGACAAGCTAAGGGTTGCTGTAGGGGTTAAGGGTGGGGGGATGGGCTAAATGGGTAAGCAGCATTAGGGAGGACACTTGTTGGGATGAGCACTGGGTGTTATATGTAGGGGATGGATCACCGGAATCTACTTCTGAAATTATTATTGCACTATATGCTAACTAACTTGGATGCAAATTAAAAATTAAATAAAAATTTAAAACTTAAAATTAAAAATAAATAAATAAACATTTTAGGATGGAAGGAAGGGAGAAAGATACTGAATCCCTCTTGTATCTTCCAACTTCTCTATAAATTTGAAACTATTCTGAAACAAAAGATTTATTTTTTAAAAAGATACAGGAAGAGAAGCAGCAATGGAAAGCAACAACACCTTAAGGCTGAGAAGTGAATCCACTATTGGTAATATTATTTCTATAAGTGTATTTTCCTGAATTTCAAACAACCAAGTTATAAACTAACTCTTGGAATACAATCTGTTTATAAATTACACTGTATTGGAGAATAAGGCAGAACGCATTTGGCCTGTAGAATGTTTCCACTGCCTTTTGTCACCAAGGATATGTTAAATTGAAACATTCTTTTTTTTATTATTTATTTATTTTAAAAAAGAGATAGCGTGGGGGAGGAGCAGAGAAAGTGGGAGAGAGAGAATTATAGGTGATGACTGCGTGCAGCCCGATGCAGGGCTCAAACCCATGAACCACAAGATCATGACCAGAGCCAAAATCAAGAGTTGACACTTAACCGAGTGAGCCACCCACCTGCCTCTTAAATTGAAACAATCTAAACAGAAATATAACAAACTTGGATTTTGGTTGGAAAATATTTTCTCTCATAAACTCCATGAAGCCAAAAGTACCAGAAAAACGTCCTCAGGGTCATCCAGAATGATCCAAATGGCTGAGTCTAAATGTCCTATATCAATGTACATATGTATTTGGTGCATAAGTTAGGAAGAAGGCAAAATAAAGGTGGAAAAGGAATTGAAAGAAGACTCAATAGGTTATAGTGATTAAAAGCATGGGCTCTGGTCTCAGATTTTCAAGGTACAAATCCCAGCACTGCCACTTAACCCACTGTGTAATCTGGGAAAGTTACTTCTTTATGCCTCAATTTTTCTACCTGTTATATGAGGAAAATGTTGACATCACAGGGTTGAGGATTAAATGAGGCAATATATATAACATATATATAACATATTAAATGAGGCAATATATATAACATATAGCAAGTACAGGACTTCGCACAGCCTAAGTTCTCAGCAAATGTCAGTGTATACGTGTGCAAATTTCTGACTGTGAATTTGTTGCATATACTATGCCTTGATCAACTAACAGTATGCATGTACTCTGCCATTTTACATACTGCAAACTATAGGAGTTAGTCCTAAAGATGATTTTTTAAACCTCACTGTTCATGTACAGTTGATCTTTATACATCATATATAATTGATTGTTATATACCATATAACCACCATATACACAAAAGTACAAGTATGTTGTTAAAATCAAAAGAAATACATTGTGAATTAACACAAAACACTGCATAATGGAAACATGCATGTCTTAAAATTTGAGAAATTCAGAATCAAATCCCATTTATCAACTAAGGACTTGTCCAAGTTAGTGAACCTCTCTGTATCTGTTTTCTCATTGTGAAAACAGGAACAAGACATATTTCTCATAAAATTGTGATGAGGATTAAGTTAACAATAGTAAGACATTCAGCACATGGAACATACCCTTAAATGTCACACCAGTGCATTTGTGCACATGCATGCACACACACACACTCCCTTAACTAGTGCCATTTCTGTCCAAAAGACCAAATATTTTGTCGTAAAATATCTTCATATTTTATGTCCTGTGTTTAAAATGACTTATTCTGGCAGTTTCCAATCCAGAATACCAGATCTCTGAGTGTACCCAAAGACTTCTGTAGGTACAGCACCTTGGAAAATTTTAAGAAAATCAGTTTCCAAATCTTCAACATCCACATGTATTCTTTCCTCAGGCTGGACTGAGAAAGCACCTGTGTCTGAGGTGGTTCTCATTTCCTACAGCCCTTTGCACAACCATCTTTGAAAGTTAAGTGCCCATCTTTAATTTTATCCTTACATCACTCCAAAACTAAAAACCTCTAGAGGACCAAAATAGAGTACAGTTTCTTTAATCAAGTTTCCATAAACACCTCCAGCTATCTCCTTAAGAAATAAATCCCCCATACAAATTTTCCTTTTAAATTGAATAACGTTTATCATGTTTTTAAGTGTAGTTTTATCTTTTCATTAACTATATTCTATCAGTAATCACAATAGCAACTCAAGTCAGAAGAAAAAATATATAGAGCTTTATGGTCAAAGGAAATTAAGAAAATATATTTAAATGTATATGTGTATATATACACATACATACTGTACATACATATTGCAAAAAAGCTAGATAGGGTGATCAAGAAGAAACTGTCAAACATAACAATGGGATAAAATTCTGCGGGGGAAGTGGAACGGAAATCAAACTCAAAGAGGAAAAGATATGATGTAAAATTTCCCAAACGTTAAAAAACTTTAAATGAATGATGATCAATAATATTAAAACACTACCATCCTTATATTCCATTGGACAAAAATTCCAGAGTGATTTAACATCTTATTTGAACAATAGGAAAAATCAGCCAGATATTACATCCTTTGCAACTATTTAAATGTATGATGAAAGAAAAATTAGGTAACTCTTAAAAGCTACAAAGAAGCGTAATCTGGCAAAGCGAATCCTCAAACATCAGGGGTCCTTTCTGAAATTCAAGTCAAGCCCAATAATTTCACTTGTATGAAACGGAGACCACTAGTCCAATGGTCCTCTCTTGGTTTCCCACCCACCTTTTTTCTTTCCCGCTACGCCTGCCCCCTAGCCCCGCACCTCCCCACTCTGCCAGCTCAGGAAGCCCAGCGGACCCCTTTCTACCTCCCTTAACCACCTCATCTTCATACCCACGACGCTCCCTGATCTCCCCCCGCCACCCCAGCTCTTCTGCGCATGCGCGTATGACTTCCTTCCCACCCGTGGCTGCTGTGTCATGGCCGAGCGGAAGTCCCGACCACAGCGGGGACCGGGGGGTGGGGGCAGGGGTCCTTAAGATGGATGGCATTCTTCTCAGCTTTCTCCCCTCCCTCCCACAACACCCCTTTGATCTCCCACTGTCGTGGGGAAGTGGGGGCGGTCCCCTACCCTGCACTCTCCCGAACACCTCGTAGTCCACGGATTTGAGTGGCCTGGCGGCAGACATGGCGGCGAGTGTTCTGCCGAGGAGCCGGAGTGGGGTTCGGGACGCGGCCAGCAGAGGGAGGGGGCACATGGGACCTCTCGGCGTACCCCGCTCCTGTCACCGGCCCGGGACGCGAGCGCGCCGGGTCACGCGTCGGAAGGTGGCAAATGAGACTGCGGGTCCTGGGATCGGGGGCAGCTAAGGACGCCGGACGGGAAGACCGCTCGGCCCCTGGCACCGAGGCCTCCCTGTTTGCCCTCCCCTCCCTTATGGAACCTGACTGCCTTCCTCGCCGGTTCTCCGCTCCCTGAGATTAAATTAACCTCCGGGCTCATTTCTCAGTGTTAGTAAACAAAAGCCGGATGCTGTGCCCAGATGTCAATAGCTTGGTAACCAAACGTGATTGCTTTTGAAATGAAAGATCTGCCAGCTTGTTGATTGAGGGCACTTGGTTAGTGAGTTAATTCTTATTAAATGTTTGGGCGACTGCCAAGTCTATTTGGCGATTTTGAGCCAATTGTTAGTTAGTCTGCACACTTTTACCTCTTGAGTCAGAATGGTTTGGGGCCTGAATCCATATTCTAAGTGGATTGTAATATTTTCTGGGATAAGAAACTTTAAAAATCGAACCTCTTCTATGCTAATGGAAACTGGGAGGGGGAGCGGGGGGATCGCTTTGCCTGCGTTTCACTCACATAGCTTTTTAATGGTTTTATTGTTGAACAACATCCCAATTGCCTACAAGGTTAAAGCAGTTTGTACTTAGAGAATGCACTTCATGGTGAGCTTGTTATGAAGCCTTACTTTAAAGCAACCCACCACTCCAAAGAATCTGGATACAGCTATTGATAATCTGCTGCCTTCTAGAATTCCAAATCTTTTTACCTTGAGAATTTGCATTTCTGGACATATTTGTTGGCTTCAATACCTTTACATATTTCTCTGCATCTGGCCACAGAGTTAAAATAATCCTCTGCAATCTGATTCAATATTATGTGCCAATTCTAGTAAGGAACACCAAAAGTCATCTAAAATCGGTTAGAATTTGGTTAAAACATTTTAACGTAAAATGTATTCTGGAAGTGCTAATCCAGGTAATTTTATAATAATGAAGATCCTGGTTTATTACAGAGACCTCACAATTTATGTCTTCCTCTCCTCCCCTGTTTATTCCATGCCAGCTCTAGAATCAACATAGATCCTACACCATTCTTTTCAATGAGGCCTCTATAATAGAGCTTCTACCTTGCATTCTAATAAAATGCACTAAGAATAATTTTTTTAAAAACTGAAGGTCTTCAGCTTTCACTAACCTCTTATTACCTGCTTATCTCCATCCGCAAATTATTCTGTAGTTTATAGGTAACCTACGGTCAAGGCACTTTGGATTATTCTGCTCTCTGAACATAACTTGACCTTAAAAAAATATATTTAGGGGCAGCCTAGTGGCTCAGTTGGTTGGGCATGGGACTCTTGGTTTCAGCTCAGGTCATCATCTCATAGTTCGCTGAGTTCGAGCCCCCACATAGGGCTCCACACTGATAGTGTGAAGCCTGCTTGGGATTCTCTCTCCCTCTCTCTCTGCCCCTCCCCTGCTCATTCTGTCCCTCTCTCAAAATAAATAAATAAACTTTTTTTTTTAATTGTTTTTAAAGCTTTGCTCTTGGATCTACTTTATCTAGAATACTTCTTCCTATTTCCAAAATCTCCCCCTATTCCTTTTAGTTGCCTGTGCAAGTGCTTACCAGATTTCATCCTAATTATTTAGTGTCTTCTCCACTAGCACTGTGCCTTCCAAGAAGTAAAACTCAAATTTGGTTGAGATCCTGTCACCACCACTAATCCTGTCACTGATAAGCTTGACATTTTCTTTTTCTTAATCTTGGACTTTTCCCGACATTTAACCAAGAGTGCCGCTGCCAATTATTACGTAGCTTTATTGTAATTTTAGAAACACTATAGCAACAATTGACATTTGCTAGCTAAAAAGTTTACTGCGGCCGCCAACTACAGAACATGAGCAGACAGACATTTTTATGTACTGTTTCAGCATGGATTGCCAATAATATGTGATTCTAAGACTTTAAAATTTTTAGGCAAATATCACTAATAATTAAGCTAATTTTAAATGATAGAAACGTCTTTGCATAGAGAACTTTTTTTAAATAGGACAAAATCATCTATAGCCCTCACACAACCTTTATCATTTGTATGTTCTCTTACACATATATTCTAGGCAGTTAAAATCATACAAATTCAACCTTTATTTTTTCTTTTTCCATATTATAGTCTTCCAATGAATATTTCACTAATTTCTTGATACTCTGTTAAGTGTGTATAACCATAAATTTACCTAAGTCTCTATTACACACTCAGATTGCTTCTAATTTTCCATTACCATAAGAAATATTGTTAGGGAAATATTTGTGCACATAGCTTTCTTCCCATATTTTTAAATTATTTAGAAGTTTGAATACCTAAATTGTATAAATGTGTATTGTTCTTGATACATATTGCCAAATGGTTTTTCAAGGGCTACACCAATTTATTTATTTTATCTTTTAATGTTTTATTTATTTCTGCGAGATAGAGAGAGAGACAGCGTGAGCAGGGAAGGGTCAGAGAGAAAGGGAGATACAGAATCTAAAGCAGTCTCCAGGCTCTGAGCTAGCTGTCAGCTAGCGGGGCTCGAACCCACTAACCGTGAGATCATGACCTAAACTGAAGTTGGACGCTTAACCGCTGAGCCACCCAGGCGCCCCAGGCCATACCACTTTAAATATGCCACGACCAACACTACATGAGTGTACGACTGTTTGGTTCCTGATACAAACAAAATGTAAGCAGGCACTTCACATACAATACATGACTCAATTAGAAGAAAAGTTTTCATTTGGTAACCTAAGCAATAGCCTTCAAGTAACTAAGTTTGTGTTACTGCTGGTTGAAATTAAAACCTAGTGAAATCATTCCATTTCTGGAACATTTTAAGACCATTTGTGTGTGATGTAGGATCATGTTTAAGGTAATATATAGAAAAGGAAAATCCTACCTATATCATCTAAGTGTAAAAAATGACCAGGCCCCAAGTATCTAAGTGGCTTAGTCGTTAAGCATCCGACTTCAGCTCAGGTCATGATCTCTGCAGGTCTGTGAGCTGGAGCCCCACCTTAGGCTATGTGCTCACAGCTCAGGGCCTGGAGCCTGCTTTGGATTCCATGTCTCCCTCTTTCTCTGCCCCTCTGGGGCGCTCTCTGTCTCTCAAAAATAAATAAACATTAAAAAAATTTTTTTCAATGACCAGGCCACAGAACTTGTGAAATAGGAACAGACAATATAGTCTCTGTACCGAAACGATGTTTGAACTGAGGAGGGCCAGCCTATAAATCTCTAAATCATCACCACGAAGGGTCAGTTGAGAGTGACTCCTAGAGTGATTTCTTAGAAATTTGATATTAAGGTATAATTAATGTCAGGCACAACCAAAATTACGTTATCCGTCAACATATTTCTACCACTGAAATAGTTTTATAATCATCATATTAAAAGAAGAGGAGTCAACAGAATACAAACTGTTAACTTCCACAGTTGAAGAGGCCTGAACAAACCAATTCCATGATTCCCTCATGCAAGGAATACTTTACAGAAAAAGAAGTGGTTAGCTAATTATTACTAAACTGGATTCAAGATCGTTAACCAGTAGACTGTTAATCACATGAAGAAGCTAGTTTCCGAGAAGAGGCTGTAATCTCATTAAAATTTATCTGCAAATTGCTTAAGCATTTTATCGAGAAAGCATATTTCTTCTCAGAAGGAAATTCTGTCCCATGTTTGAACCAATCTTTCTTTATCATTGTCCAATTTGATATTCAAAGCTCAGAAGTACATTTACCATTAAAGTCATTTCCCTCTCCTATCTTGGTACTGCTTAGGCCAGGGAGGGGAGCGAGCATAGCTGATTCCTCTCCTTACCTTAGTTTCTCTCTGTCTAGATGAGAATTGGAAAGAACTTGCACTTTTGGAATTCAATTTGGGCTCTCCAGGATTGGTAGATATTCAAAACTGATTAGTTCTTTTGAAGGAAACTTTCTGGGTGAACTCAGAGCTTTTCCCCACCAGGAATTCCTGCCCTTTGCTGTCTTGATAAACAATGCCTATACTTTGCCTGTGGGCACACATCCCCATCCCAACTTCTGTATTGAATACTATATCTCCAACCCCTTTCTGCTGAGACTAGCCTCCAGCAAGAAGGCTAAGTGGGTGGGATCCCTTTTAAAATGAACACAGGACCAGATTCCTCCTTTCCATCATATCTAATTGTGGGGACTCATACCTCTGCCCTACCACTGATAACAAGGTGCAGTTTGCTCTGAATTTGACCATCTCTGCTCTTTTGGCAGGCATCATTCATATATTTCCAGCCACAGCCTTTCCTCTTTACTTTCTGCAGTTATGGGTCAAATGCCAGTCCCTTCTAGCTCCAACGACTAAATGCCAAGCTCTCAGAAGAAGGGGTTCTTTTAAAAACCCTCTCAGTAGGCAGGTGGTGAAGGGAGAACACCTGGTTTCTCTCTCCCATGGTGGGAGCTGGGAGAAGAGAGAAAAACACAGCTCTCCGGTAACTTTCCTGGAAGAAATCCTGCCTGGAGGGGCGCCTGGGTGGCTCAGTCACTTAAGCATCCGACTTCAGCTCAGGTCATGATCTCACAGTGCGTGGGTTCAAGCCCCACTTTGGGCTCTGTGCTGACAGCTAGCTCAGAGCCTGGAGCCTGTTTCAGGTTCTGTATCTCCCGCTCTCTCTGACCCTCCCCTGCTCAAGCTGTGTGTGTGTGTGTGTGTGTGTGTGAAATAAATAAAACATTAAAAAATTAAAAAAAAAAAAAAAAAAGAAAAAGAAATCCTGTCTGGAGCCTGAGGTGGTTGTGGGGCTAAGGATCTTAAAGCCAATTTTTAAACACCCCTTTTGCACAACGTGGTAGTCCAGTACCTCATCTTGAAATGTGGGTATAGCTAGTGTTTTGTTTTCAGTCTCAGGTCTCAGCTAAAACTGAGACCAAAGTCCCATTTTTCAAATCAACATAATTCAATACATAAATCCTGTTAGGATCGTGATTTGAAATTATAAGTTCAACAAAACATTTTTGAGACCATTGGAGAAATCCAAACACAGGGTGACTATTAAATATTACAGGATTATCTTTGTTATATGTAATCATGACATTGTGGTGTATTTTTTAAGGGCCTAACCAAATAGAGGTATATTCTGAAATATATAAAGGGTGCTATGTAATGATATT